CCTGCAGACATACGAGTTTGCAATTTCTGAACATTTTTACTCTGTGCCATCTGAAGATACACCAGACACAGGCTTGTGTCTGCCTGTCTGTCCTTGGCAGACAGTAAGTAAGGTAGGGGGAAACCTGCCTAGTTTTGGTGATTTCCTAGGTGCCCTGAGTGTTGAGGTCATTTGAGTCTTTCTGAAGGCTGGTCTGCCCTCATTTGTCGGATGGGGAAACTGAGGTTCTGAGGGGCAGAGGCCACAGTGGGAGCAGTTGGAGGGCTGGAATCTGGGTGTTCTGCCTCCAAATGCCACGTTCCTTCTACACCATACAGCACCTCACACCTGCAGGGTTTGTTTGCAAAGGACAGCCACATGTGTGCATGCCTGGGGTCCCCACAACAGCCCTGTGGGGTAGGCAGTGGGGGCCCCACCAGCTCCACCATTGCACTGACAGAGACACAGAGGCTCAGAGAGGTGAAGGGACCTGTCCATCGTCACGGGCCAAGCATGATTGGACCAACTGACCAGAACTGAGTGCTTTCTGCCCTCTTCTAAGCTGAACCAGTGCATGAGATGACACTATGGCTTTCTCAACCACCATAAGGACCCCACAAGTGTCCCCAGCCTGGTCCCTCTGTGTTGTTCGTCAAGGATCATCGGACTGGAAGGCCCAGCAAGGCCTCCCCGCCCATGTAAAGGGCCCATGGTGGCTGGTTGTGCACAAAAATGAGCATTCATATGGCTGTTATGCAGGGAGTTCACAACACCGGGGAAGAAACTAATCAAGGAACACCCCCTGGGGGAGGCAGGCTACTGCAGGCCGAAGGCAGGGAGGAGTTGGATGATGGAGAGGAAGGGGGTAGCCCAGAGAGGTGGGAAAGGGGAGATATTTGAGATGAAGGATGAGAGGGGGAAATGGATATTTCTGGAGGTTCCAGATTTCAACACAACCTCATGAGCTGGGGCCATAATCAGAAGGGGGAGAAGCTCGTTGGAAGTCCCTGGCTAAGGAGGAGTAGAGTTGGGATTGGAACTCAGTCTGTTTCACCCCCAAGTCCAGGCCCCACCCAAGGAATGGGGAAGGGGACCAACTCATCTTGAGCCTCCCTGTGCAGCACTGTGCTAGTGGATCCACTTACATCATATCATGAACGACATTCTTATCGTCCTCCCAGGGAAATGAGCTCAAAGAAGTAAAGCCATGTGCCCGAGGCCACACAGCAAGTTCACTTGAGAGCTCAGGTCCTGTTCAGCTCAGCCTGACGCTCTGCTCTACCACTCTGCACAGCTTCTCCCCACTCACTCTGGAGGACAGAGCCTAAGGTCTGCAGGGCCCAGGGGTGAGCTGGGCACAACCTTCTGAGAGCTTCCAGCTTAGAGCTCCCGGCTGCCCAGACCTGTGTGGGCAAGAGGATTGATGCCGAAACACATCCTGGTAGTGTTGTGTACCTGCATGTGGCCAAGGACAGCAGAGCCTATAAAAGTGCAACCAGTGAGATCTGATTGGGTGGTGGGATGGTCTATGAATTTTGTTCTTCATTTTATTTGAGATGGTTTGTGCAGTGCAAAACTCAGTCACCATGATGCGGCTGTGTCTGTTTGGGCCAAGCATGAAGTGGAGTGTCACAGGCTAAAGGTGGGTCCCAGGTGCTCAGGGGGTGACTGCCACAGGGCAATGGTGGTCAGGGAAGCCTTCATGGAGAAGGTGGGGCTTGAGCAGATGGGAAAAAGTTAAGTGGGCAAAGAGGAAGAAACAAGAGTAGGAAGAGAGGACAGCCTCAGCAGAGGCAGATTGAAGGGAGCAAGACAAGGTGGATCAGCAGTAGAGGCAGAGTGGGAGACAGGGCATGGTGAACGTACTCTCAGGGTTGGGAGGGGCGCTGAATGCAGTATCCACTCAGTGGGTCACTCTCCAACATCCCCACCCGCAGCCTGTCTACATCCTGCTCATAGAGAGTCAGTGACGGGGAACTCACTATCTTACAGACAGCCTCTTTTGTCCTATAATGGTCCCCACTGTTACAGAATTCTCTTTCCAATTATACTGCTTTCTATGGAGCCAGCTATGCCCCTTTCTCAGTTTCTCCCTATGAGTTTGAGCTGAGCCACACTCCCTTGCCCTGCTGACTCTCACGCAATTGGATTTCAGATGCCAGGGCTTCAGGCTCGCCATGGAGCTTCACTTTCTTCCATCTGGTTCATCCTGCATCCTGTGATCATCTTTCTGGATCCTGACAGTTGCTTTCTTTTTGCCACCCCCCTGCACTTGTGGGCTCTGAGAGACTGATGGGAACACTTTGCACACTGCAACAGGACAGAGCTCCAGGGAAGGTCACTAGAAACCATCCACCAGATTACTAGCAACCCAAGAACCAGCAAGAACCCACCAAGATCTCCAGGTTCCCACATGCCCCTCTCCTTCCTGTCCACAAGGACATCCTGGAGACGTTGGCTGATGTCTTCTGACACCCAGAAGCCCCAGGCCTATTCCATCTACCCAGGCTTCCAGCCAGATTCAGACCAAAGCCGCTGGTTCAACTTGGGCTCACAGGGCCTGTAGTGGCTATTTGCAGCCACTCCTTTCTCATCTCAGTGCTCACAGGCCACCATTCCAAGATGACTGGGAATCCTGCCAAGACCAATGCTAACCCCAGCAGCCCCGGCTTCACGGGACTCACTGGGATCCCTGCTGAGACCTGCAATGCCTTCTGTCTGTCCTCAGTCCCCTTGTCCTTCCCCACTAAGGGGTGAGCTCTCTTCCGAGTCTCCAAGGGCCTGCAGGCCTCAGCTCTCCTGTAGGATCTCTTGGTCTCCTGGGACTTCTGGCCTCCCTGGAGACATCCCAGCCTCTCCAAGTTTTGAGGCTTCTTGACAGAGTTGGCATACACAGCCAACTGAAATATCATCCTGAAATCTCCTGCTCCCATCCTCTGCCTTCAGCACTGTCTTATTTTTGGCACCTGTGTTCCCTCTGGGCCCTCTCGCCCCTGCTCCTAGACGCAGCCACCCTATGACTCACTCCAGGCTGGATGGTTGGCTTCCCACCCATCTCTGCCCATTGTGTCTTTTCCAGGGTCTCTCTGCACCTGTGCCCTCCTCCTTGGCTGGTTTGTGATGCTGTCAGGCCAGTGATTCTGAACATTCTCTCTCCAGCCTCCTGCCAGCATCCTCCCCTCTCCCCTCTTCTCCAAACTGTCTGAAGTTTCCATCCTCTCAGGCCCATGCCTGCCCCGGGCTTCCACACATCCAGAGGACTTACCTGGCTACTGCCCCCAAGGATGCTCTGTCTGTCAACCACTTCATCCCAGAGGGCAGGACCAGGGCCACAGGGCCGTAACAATTTATTGAACTCTCATGTGGCCCTATGTTCTAAGAGGTCATTTGGGGCATTCCATGGTTTCTCAGTGAGACACTGGGGGCTTTGCACTTGCTGTCTGTCTGCCTGAAATACTTTTCTTCTCATTGTTCTGATTTTAGGTCAAATGCAACCTTTTCAGACAGGCCTTCCTTGACCAACTCAGATTCCTGTGCCTTCCCTGCAGGTCTCTATATCTCACTATGATGGTGGAACATCTTCATCTGACTTACCATTATCTGAAGTTACCTTGCATATTTGCTGGCTTGTTCCTTTACTGGTTCTCTCCTTTACTAAATTCTAAGCTCCAGGACAGCAGGGACCTTGTTTGTTCCCTTAACTAGTGGCACACAGTATGTGCTTAACAATTGTTGGTTAAATAAATGCTGGATAAATAAATGCCCCCACCTCTACTCTTACTCCTACCATCCTGTCCTGCAGACCTGTTTGTATTTCCAGGACATTCCACACTCTTTCAGACCTCTGTGCCTTTGTACGTGGTTCCCTCTGCTAGGAGGGCCGTTTCTCTACGATTGGACTTGGAAAGCTCCTATTCATCCTTTAAAACCCAACTCAACACTACCTCCTCCAGGGAGCTCTGCTTCTTCCTTGGCTTTCTCACAACACCTTCCTCACACGTCTACTGTAGGATTAGCTGTTGGTAGGCCTGAATCCCCAAGGCCATTTAGGCTGGGGGCTCCCATAGGCAGGGGCTGGGCCTGAATCACTGGTGAATTGGGGGTGGAGATAGTACCAGCACTTGGCCTAAACACCCAGAGTAGCTTTGCAGAGGGTGTTTGCTGAGCACTGCTGGCCAATAAGGCCTTTTGGGTGTCCCTGTGAAAAGGGGTCTCACCTGGCTAGTGTGTCACAACTGCAGGGTTTCCCCACCTCTTCTCTGCCCCTGAGTGAGCTTGTAAAAATGTAAACATGATCAGCTCACTGCTTAAAACCGTTCCAGAGAATCCTCATCACAATTTCCAAACTGCTGACCATGGCCCATGAGGCCTGACCTCTGGCCTCTCCACTCTATTTCACTGCAGCCTCCAGCCGGTCCTGTCTCTGGGCTTTTGCCCCTGCTGTTTCCTCTGCCTGGTGTGCTCTTCCTCGGATAGTCACAAGGCCAGCTCCTCCTCATCACTCACACTCAGTACACCTTGTGCCCTGTTTGTTTTCTTCACACACTTCTCTGCTCAGGAATTTTCACATCTCCCTGCTCCTCGCTCTGCCACAAGCTCCCCAGGGCTGAGCCTTTCCTGCCTTACTCACTGCTGCAGCCCCAGTGTGGGCCCAGTGCCTGGCACACAGCCATGGCCAGAACGCTTATCACCTGACTGATTCTGTCTCATCTCTGATGAGAGTGGGTTTCAGTGTTCAGCTTTTTAGTAAACCAAGTCACTAGAAGGCCAATGCCATGAGGGAAGGGATGCTTTGTCTATTTTATTCACTGCAGTCTCCCCAGGGCTCGGGTTGCTGAGTGCACAGTAGGCTCAATGTGTGTTTGTGAGGGAAAAAGGAGTTCTCACTTGGGGCTGAGCTGGCTGGAGATACCAGAGCCAAGGATCAAAGTCTCTGAGTCCCTTCAGCCTCATGAAGGGGACACACAAGCATCCCCTGAGCATGGCGACGGGAATGAGCCCAACATCAGGCTGAAGCTCACCTGACAGCAGCATGGGGTCCTTGTCCACGGACTTGCGCACCTGGTCAGACTCTCCGGTTAGGGAGCTTTCATCAATCTTGAGGTCATTGCCCTGGATGAAGAGGCCGTCAGCAGGGAGGAGGTCACCTGGCAAGAGGAAGGGCAGGGGAGTCAGCAGGCTCTCAGGTGGCTAGAAGGCTGGAACATTCCCTTAAAGGTGCGATTACCAGGGAAGGTTTGCCATCAGGGATAGAATGCCTAGAGCTCACAGGGTGTAGGAACCAAGATGGTGCCCACAGACGGCCCATGTATAGCTCAAGACTGGAGCTAAGGTGCACAGCACAAGGCCTGGAGGGCTGAGGTTGGGGACCTGCAACCCTCGCTCAAGCAGGCATGTACTTTATGAAGTGCTTCTCTTGACCTCACCTGACCTTGGAGTGCAGGTCTCCCAACAATTCATTCTTCTTTAGTCTCAGTTATGGTTTGGGGAAATCTTTTGGAAGGAACCAGTCTGTCTTGGCTGGGTAGAGAAGGCCCCAACCAAGTCACATTGTCAAGGGGAAATCAAGTCCTTTATGGCAGAGTGAGGAGGGGCACTCCAATCTCTACCCTTCTGCCTCAACTTACCTAGGACATATCTGGCTCAAACTCACTTTGGTGCCAGCCTGCCCATTTTCTCCATGGCAGTAGCACAAGTCCAGAATATTCAGTTATCCACTTATAGGCTTTCTAACATCTCCTCTAGCCCAACAAGCATCCATTAACAGCCAAATCAGGGATGGGAAACAGATTTCATCTAATAAACCCATTCTGAGCATTAGTGGTTGTTGGAATGCTGTGCTGAGAAGGCTTCTGCGGCTGTATGCAGGCTCTGAGCTGTGACTGATTAGTAATGTCTGCTATGGGTGGAAGTTTGGAGAGTGGTGGCACATGTGCCATGTACTTGTCATTTCTGATTTAAATGGATTCTGGGATTGTACCCCCTCCAGGACATACCCTTCTACCTCCTAAAGGATCTCAGAAGACATCTTGGTTTGGGTTCAGCCTTCAGGAAGGCACCCCCTTCCTTGAGCCAATCTCTTTGCATCAGCCTGGCCTGTCCCACCTCTGCCTATAATCCGGCTTTAGAACCTGGCTCTGTGGCTGGGACACTTACCATATTTGACCTGGGCTATGTCCCCAACCACGATCTCAGCCACAGGGATCTGGACCACCTGGCCAGCCCGGACCACGGTGAATTTCTGTTCCTGCTCGATGCGGCTCTGCAGGCCCCGGAACTGTTTCTCTTTGCTCCAGTCATTGAAGGCCGTGACCAGGACCACACAGATAACTGAGAGGAGAATGGCAGCCCCCTCGATCCAGCCTGCCTCTGCCTCTCCTTCATCCTCTGCCCCACCCTGGGCCGTCGCGCATCCTGAAAGACCAGATAGAAGCAGGCAGAGTGAGGTCAGCCAGCCAGGAGAGGCCTCATGGGCTGGATTTACAGCTCAGCTCTGCCAAGTAACAAGTGTTAAGAATCAGATGATAATTATCCACTGATTCAGTGTGTCTGGGTACCAAACCCTGTGGAAAGTACTTCACGCAGATCGTCTCATAGGGAGGGGACTCACACTGCCCATTTCACAGATGTGGAAACTGAGGTTTCTCAGAGAGGTCAAGTGACTTGCCCAAGCTATGAAGGGCAAGTAGGAAGCTAGAATGTGAACCCTGGCAGTCTGGCTTCAGAGCCCACCATCCTAGCCCCTTCAGTTTTCTGCCTTTGTTCTAGCTGTGAGATCTTGGGCAAATGACTCCCTTTCTGAAACTCGTTTTCTCATCTGGGTAAAATGAGAAGAATATTCTTTATCTTAGGAACCTATTGTGAGAGTTGAAATTCAATGTGGTAAATTTCACGGACTCTACAGCACAGACAAGGCACAGAGGAGAGAAAAGATAATTTAATTGATGAGAAAAGACAAGGAATTTTCTCTAATTCATGAGAAAAGAGAGGAAGCGAGGCATTTTTTTTTCCCAGAACAAAGGCAGCCAATACTGCATGTGCTTGAGGGTCTGAGAAGGCAGTTTTGCCGATGTCCTCTTCTGTTGGAGTCTCATTACATTGCCTAGGCAGGTTGGGAAGATGAGCTGGTTCTAATCCTGCTGCTGCCTCTGCATGATTTTGGGTAAGTCATTGCCCTTCCCCAGCTTCAGTGGCCTCATCTGCAAAATAGGGATCACTGAGACCACCTTCTGGGGCTCAGGGAGAGGAAGGGGGAAACTCCTGGCCAGAGCTCAGCGCACAGGAGGTTCTCTAACTCAGTCCTTGTCAGATGTCAGCTGAGGAGTGAGCCGCCCTCCACAGTGAGGACACTGATGCTTGAGCTGCAGGCCACCTGTCTGACCTACAGTGACCCTGCATCCCACACCCTTGCACCACTGAGCCTCCCAGTCTAGGCCCCCAAAACTCTCGAGGTCTGCCTGGCCCATGGGGTGAAGAGAAAAAGAAGAACCTAAGCACATCCGATCTGAAGGCATCAGACCCAAAGGCAGGTCCTACCCATGCAGTGCTGGGCCTACAGCCCTTCCATGCCCCTTTCCCATCCCCACAAGGATCCTGAAAGCAAGAGGTGGAGGCCCAGGAGGTGAGGTGCCACAGTCAGGACACACCCAGCCTTCATTTCCCCTGGGACCTGGGGAGCGGCCATTTCCATGGAAAGGAATCTCCAGCAGCATCTGACCATCCTTCCTGGAAAACTCAGAGCAGTTCCCCTCCACAGGGGCTAGGTGGGGCACTGGATACCCTGCAAGGCCTGCTGTGCACCCAGCATTCACTTTAACCCTTAAGGGGGCTGTTCAGAGAGAAGCAGAGACTTACCTGTGGTCACACAGCAGATAATGGGAATTTATCCAGGTCTGGAATCTGACACCAGACCTGGCCTGTTCACTCTCCCCGAGCCCAGCAGTCCCCTCTGCCATGTGTTTGCCAAAGACTCATGGCTGAGCATCTGGAAATCCAGTCTGTCTCAAGGAACAGAGAACAGAAGCTTCAAGAGACCCCGGTGGAAGCTTCTGGAAAGCCAGGGGTCAGAAGCAACATGACAAGAAGGCCAAGTGACACTCAAGGAATGTTTATGGGCTTTTGGCTCCTGGAAGGGTGGGGCCCAAGTCTGGGGAGATACGGAATCACTGCGGCCCAGCTGCATGTGCCACTGGAAAATTCCAGGTCTTGCACTGAACCAGCCGTTCCCTTCGGGCCAGGACACAACGCTATCATGTGGGGTTCCCAAGTCACTTTTCTCCCCCATTGGGAGTTTCAGACTTTTCCAGTAATTTAAAACTGTTCAGCAGGACCAGGCTTGGAGTAATGGTAATCATAATTGTGCTAACGGTAACCACGTTTGAATCCCAGCTGCGCTAACTGCTGGGTGCCCATGAACTTGCTATGTAACCACTGTGCCTGCCTTGTTTTGGTTTTCCTCATCTGCAAAATGGCAGGCGCTCTCTCATAAGGTGGTTGAGAGGCTTAAGAGAGAGCCTTCAGGTAAAATACCCACTGCAGTGAACACACAGTAAATGCTCAGTTAAAGCTGGTGCTTCTTATTTTCCAGTGTGTGGGTGAGCATTACTGCATTCAAGTTCCACAGCCCGGCTTTATGAAGCCCTGAGGCCCACATTACAGAAGGGGCTCCTGCTAGATTTGAGTGACATATGATGATGGGAGGAGAGGAAATGGTGAATGGTGCCTCCTGTACCACCATGAATGACACCAATAGAGACTCCAAAGACTGGGAAACATAGGTGAACCTTGCTAAACAGAAATCCAGTATATGGAAATGCATTATCTTGGGGCTTAGGGGCAGGGAGGGGGAAGGAGTGGGATTACAGAGCCCCATGCTGCATTTTTCAAGACCTTTATTATCCCCTGCCCCTTGCTATGTGCTCTGGAAATGGGAAGGCTGTTATTTCCCCTGCTGTGTGCCTCCTCAATGAGGCCCCCATTAGAGCAGCTACAGGAGCATTTGGACACTTAGAGCAATGACAAACCTTCGGGTTCTGGAATCAGAAAGACTTAGTTCAAGTCCAACCTCTGCTGTGTGACTTCAGGTAAGTGACTTGGCCTCTTTGAGCTTCAGGTTAGACAGCTGTGAAGTGGGATAACCCCAGGGAGGGCCTGGCACATGATAGATACGTGGTAAAAGTTGGTCCTCTCCCCTTTTCATTAGCTTTTTTCCCTGGACTGGCCTCTGAAAGCCAAGGGCACAGTGACTGAGTGGGATTTGCCCCATTCCGACTCCTAGCCCTACCTGCTGCCCTTGCTGACTCAACACCAAGGAACCCTCTGGGCCTCGGAGGGTACTCACTCTGCCAGCAAAAGCCGATTAGCTTTTATCTCCAGAGAACTGTCTGATGGTCACACGGTGCCCAGGGATGGCTAGAAAGTGGGAGTGCAGATTACTGGGGCAGGGATTTGGCCACCTGGAAGCTGTCCGACCCTAGGAACAACTCCTGCTGCCCCTGGAGCAATTAGGGAGAAGAGAATAGGAAGGGGAGGGAAGAGGGGAGAGGGTGGGTCTCGCTGAGGTCTCCTCTGGAGCTCCCTTGGACTGGGGCAGGGACAGGATCTGGAGACTGTGGCCATAGGGTCCAGGCAACTGCAACTGCTCTCCCTGGACCTGGGGCTGTAGAGGGTGTGGCCTCTCCCTGTCTGTGTAAGCTTGGGGAACCCACTTGGCCTCTTTGGGCCTGTCTGCATGTTCACCAGTACAATGGGAAATCTGCCTCCCAGATGGCTACCAGGGCCTGGTATCCAACAAAGATCCTCAAAACTAGTTGAGCCATAAACATTTTCTAAACACCTACTATGTGCCTGTCACTCTGCTGGCACTCTGACACTAGGGGAGCTGTCACCAGCAGGGGGTTGGGGGCACTCAGTGTGCCAATCCTAGCCCTGCCATGAACATGCTGTGTGACCTAGGACAAGTGCCTAGAGGTCTCTGAGCCAGGTAATTCTTCGTGTACAAAATGATGTTGGTAGAGGACTAACAGGCTGCAGAGTGCTACAGCACCCACAGCCCTGCCCCAACTGCTTTCCGAGTGATGAGTATGAGATAAGACCTTCCCAAGGTTACACACCAGGAAGTGACATAGCCAGGACTCAAACGAGGGTTCCTGGCTTTAAGTTAGGGGATGCTTTTATACCTCTTCACTCCTGCTCATCAGGGGGCATCCGGCCCAGCCTGGCCCAGCTTGGCCCAATGGTTTTAGGGAAAAGGATGAGATGACATGTGGGGCAGAGCCCCAGGAGTTAGGCATTAGGTAAAACTAGACAGTGTGTACAGATAGCAACAGTGTCACTGCTGGACAAGGGCCCTGTGGTCACTCAGCAAACACAGTCATGCGCTGTGTGAGGCTGTCTCTGTTACTGACCGACTGCATTTACCGCAGTGGTCTCATAATATTATAATACTGTATTTTCACTGTACCTTCTCCGTGTTTAGATACATAGATACTCACCATTGTGTTACAACTACCTACAGGATTCAGTCTGGTCACACGCTGTGCAGGTGCGTAGCCTAGGAGCAACGGGCTGCACCATACAGCTCAGGTGTGTAGTGGGCTGTGCCATCTAGGTATGTGTAAGCACATTCTACAATGTTGGTATGATGATGAAATTGCCTTAGAACATGACATGTCCCTGTTGTTAAGCGACACATGACTGTATCTACTAACCACCTACAATGGGCCAGGCATAGCGAGAAACTCATACACTCATTGCATGTGTGACTCTAATTCCACCCATCAACATTGCCAGTGACCAGCCCTGTCTGACAGAGGGAGAAGGTAAGGCCTGGGCAGGGGCAGTCACTGGCTGGGAGCTGCTGCACCTGGATTTGAACCCACATCCCACTGGGTCCCAAGGCCCTGCTTTGTCATCTGCTAAGAGCAGGCCTCCCTCTAGGAAAGATGTGTCTTCTGGTGGGGGTGGTCAGCCCTGTAGTGCTGCCACCATGCTGTATTCCTTGCCTGACTCCAGACCTGATCCTGGAATGAGTCCAGTTGTGGGTTTTTCATCCCTGGCTCTTGAGTTTGTCCCCAGTGCGGGAAGCCTGAGGCCTGACTTGGGGGCCCAGGCCACAATTCTGGGTGAGTCCCCACCCTCCCCTCTTGGAGCTCCAGTTCCCTCACCTGCCAGATGGGGTGGGGGTGGGGATGCCGTGTACCTGGCTAGCATTAGAGCTCAGGGCTGAGGATGTCCATTCCAAGGCATTTAAGATAATGGCAAGTGAGAAATAAAACTGAATGAGTTCAAACAATGTGAGCACTGGGGATTTGGTAAGGCCGGTGGTGGAATGTTGCCCATCTTTCCTATGGGTGCCAGGTTATAAATAAGCCCCTCCCTGCCTTCCTTCTTCCTTTCCTTTTCCTTCTTCCCCCTAGCCTGCGCTCCCTCCTTCCTTCCTTCCTTCTGCTGACAGGGCCGGTGTTGCTCCTTCTGTAGAACTTCCTGAGTCTGTTCTGCGCACAGGGCTGCCTGCCCTCTCAGAAGCAAGGCTCTCTGCCTGGCTCAGGCTCTAACTTCTGGATCTTTAGACCTGGGGCGGAGGCGGGCAGTGGGCCTCTGAGGACTCAACATGACAGGGGCTGGAGGCAAGAGTGACAGGTGCTGGGGCTTTGGAACCTGTGACTCTAATACGCTCACACTGTCCACCCCCGCACTGCTGTAGAGGATACTAGAATTGTGGGGTGTTGAAAAGAACGTGGTCACTTTTCCAGAAACCAGGAGCGATCGGCCACATGGGGACACCTGCTTCCTGAAGTTGGCTCAGGGCTCCATGCTAAGTGCTTTGCATTATTTCCTTCAATCATCACAAGAGCTCCACAAGGCAAGTACTATCATTCACCCCATTTTATGGATGAAGACACTGAGGCTGAGCACATGGAGGGCCGGCCTGGGTCCAGGGCCAGACAGGCAGATCCAGGCCCTGTGCCTAGGCTCTGATCGCTGGACTCTGGTGCCTTCCAAGATGTGGCAGCTGGTGTCAAAAAGAAATTGGGTGCATTTCATGATTTGAAACAAAACTCAGTAGCACCACAGCAATGACACAATTTCAACACCGGCTGCTCAGGGAGGGCCCTGTTGGGGATCTTTGGCCGAAAGTTCCTGGTCTGTGAAATGGGTGTGAGGGTTCACTGAGAACCCGGACATAAAGTGCCATATGTACTGGGTGCTCAGTCACAGCTGGACCCCAGTCTCTGGAAGGCTGTGTGCAGGGAGAAGGGAGCCAAGAAGGCCACATAACTGTCCCTGTCAACTTCACTGGTGAAACTGATGTCTCCTCAGGGCTTTTTGTTTGTTAGTTTGTTTTTGCACTTGGTGGCTGGGTATTGGTGGAGCCCGAGCTTGACTTGGGGCACAGGAGTCCTGGAAACATGGAAGGCCCAGAGCTCAGATCTCAGGCCAGGGCATGGGCTTTGGGAGAAGGAGTCAGGATGGTCACAAAGCCCAAGAACTTTTGATCCCAGTGAAGCTGGATTGTGTGCAGCTGCCTTGGACGAGGGTGTGGCCTGAGCTAGTGCCCTGGCCAGAGGCAGGGAAGAGCGGTGGAACGAGCCATAGACCGACTCAGGTTGAAAATCCTGCCCTACGGCCTAAGGTAGTTTTGTGACGGCAGGCAAGTCCTTCCCCTCTCTGGGCCTTGGTTTCCGAATCTCTAAGACGGAAGATTGCACTCACCTGTTTGGGAGGTTAGACGCTCCTCCTGGCACACATGAGGAGCTCAGTCCATGTTACCCTTCCACCCCCTCCACCACCTGCTATCTGAGTTCTAATCTTGTGCTGAATTGGGTTGCATGAGGCCATGTATCTGGGCTGATTCAGTCCTGTTCTTCTTTGAGGAAACGCAGCTGAGGGACAGGACCGAGAAGCCAGAATGCTTTGGTCTGAGTCATGGTTCTGCTACTTTCTAGCTGTGTGCCCTTAGCAAGCAATTTGCTATCTCAGGGCCTTGGTTTTGGGGGTTGTTGTGAGGATTGATAATTAAATGGACTTCTATCATAATAGCTCCCAACTAGTGGTAGCTATAAAAATAGTAAGAAGTATTATCATTACGCATTTGTGTTACACTCTTAGCTTTGTTCAAGGCTTATTCAAGTCGTCATGTACTATCTTCTTTCATATTTGGTGTAAAACTTCTGTAAAGAAGGCTGCCCATTGTGCATTTCTTAGAATGTGCTATGTGAAAGTTCCTCCCAGAATTCTTGTAAAGAGAAATGTCATCTTCCTAAATAGTTTTCCTTCTTGTTGATAATTTGAGCTATGCAAATCTACCTTTTAGTTTTTAATTTTTTCATTAAAAAATTTTTGTTTTATTATTATTATTTTTAAAATTCGGTACTTTCTAGTATATTCACAGCAAATCACCCTAATTCCCTTTCTGTCTTGGCTGCCAGGAACCTCAAGTCAGATTTAAATCTCAATCATGGCAGCAATTATAGCCGGTTTCTTTGCTTCCATTCCTTTTCTGTCTGGCTTTCTATTTGACTGCATGCTGTGAGATGTATCTCTCTTGTGTCTTTAAACCCTCTATGGAAAGAAGTCATGAAAGAAAACAAATCAACTTACTATGTGTAAAATTGAGGTAGTTGGCCTAATAGACTTGGTTATCCAGTTTCTTGGGCAACTTTGGCTTGGGAGGGGGCAGGGCAACAAATATTCAAGGGACCTCAGAGGCCATCTTCTTATTTAGGGAAAATGAGGCCCATAATGTTATTTCTTATGTGCTATTAACTTTTAATTTGCTTGTCTGAAGCTGTAGTAGGGTTATCTATGTATGCAGCACATTCATTAGGAAATGTTGAATCATAATGAATCACAAAAAAGTATTTACAATATCCTACTGACTGAAACAGCAAATTATAAAACAGATCAGCCTGCACAGATGTCAGGGTCGCCCTTACCTGTGTGCTTATCAAAATCCAGCCATCCCTGGACTCTGGAGAGAGAGAACCAGGCTCTCTTAGGACCTGGACTGACACCAGTGTTTTCAACAAGCTCCACAGCAAAATCTGAGGACTGTTTATTAGCTGGTGACCTCGAGCAGAGTAACTCCCTTTTCTGTGCCTTGGTTTTCTCATGTTTTTTTTTTTTTTTTTTTTTTTTACATTTTTTTATTTCCATAGGTTTTTGGGGAACAGGTAGTATTTAGTTACATGAGTAAGTTCTTTAGTGCTGATTTGTGGGAATTTGGTATACCCATCACCCAAGCAGTATGCACTGAACCCAAGGTTTCCTCATCTTTAAAACAGGCATAAACATGGCTGCTACCTCAGGAGGTTACCGGGGCGACATCTCAGCCCAGGGCTTGGCACTCTGTAAGTGCTCAGAAATGCTCACTAAAACAATTACTGTTGCTGGTCCAACTCTTGTGCATTTCACACAGGGAAAACGGGGCTGAGGCCTGGCTCGGCCACTCTTTGGCTGTGTTGGCTATGGGCGGGGCCCTGCCCCTTGGGCCTTGGTTTCCTCCCCTGGAAGGAGAGGATTATTTGTGTGAGCCATGAGTGCCCCCGGTGTGGATGTGGTGGTCAGGTGTGCGGGGCAGTTCCTGGGTCCGAGGTCCGTCTTACCTTCGTTGCCCTCGCCAGGCGGGTGGTAGAAAGACAGCCCCAGGGAGATGATGGCGGCGATCTCCAGGATGATGAGCGTCACGTCCTGCAGCGCCTCCCACACAAGCTGCAGGAAGGTTTTTGGCTTCTTTGGAGGTATAAAGTTTTGCCCAAAAATTTGCTTTCTTTTTTCCAGGTCTGGAGCGGTGCCCGGCAAACCTGTGGACAGAGAGCAGAGAGGTTGGCCTGGGGGTCCGGGAGAGATGCAGGCGTGTTCTGGGAATCTAGGGGCAGAGAAGGAGAAACAGAGCAAGAACTTGCAGGCGGCTGGCCCAGGAGTCCAACATCTCTTCATGTTCTGGGCCCTAAGCAGGCTCCTGCCAAAAGCCAGAGACACCGTGCAGTGGGTTGAACGGCAGCCCCCAAAATATATATCCACATCATGATCCCCGGAACCTGTGAACGTGACCTCATTTGGGAAAATAGTCTTGTTGTTGAACTTAAGTTAAGGATATCACGATGAGAACATCCAGGATTATCTGTCTGGGCCCTAAATGCAATGATAGGTGTCCTTACAAGAGACACAGACACAGAGGGAAGATGGCCATGTAAAAACAGAGGCAGACATTGGAGTGATGCAGCCATAAGCCAGGAAACGCCTGGGGCCACCAGACCCTGGAAGAAGCAAGGAAGGATTGTTCCTTGCTCTTCAGAGGGAGGTTTCTGCTCACACCTGATTTCTGACTTCTGGCCTCGAGTCATGAGAGAATAAACTTTCCTTGTTTTAAGCCACAATCAGTCTGTGGTCATTTGCTGTGGCAGCCACGGGAAGCGAATCCACACTCCTACAGCCGCCTCACACTGGTACCCTCCTTCTGCTCTCCCTCCTTTTGAATGCCTCACAGTGGTTAGAGAAGAATCAGAAGCCACTGCCTGGATTAAAATCCCAGTGTGATGGCCCTCGCTCTCTGAGCCTCAGTAAATTCTTCTGCAATGGTGATGGTGATTGTACTTAACCCATGGATGGTTGTGAATATCACATGAGGTAATTCATGTGGTCCATGAGCATTTATTGAGCGCCTACTAAGTGCCTGGCACTGTTGCAGACACTGGAACAGAGCAGCCCACCAGACAGAAGAGTGCCCACTTAGGGACGGCCCTCGCCGTGGATGCCTTGCAATGTGCTCGGTCTGTGCCTGGTGAACATGCAGCTGACGCTGGTGGTTTCTCCTCTTCTGGACAAGGGAGTGAGGTATAGCCAGGTGCACCCCTCATCATGTGGGGCCTGGACAGACTGGTAGGGGCCCACTTCCACCCATCATCTGCATTTCCAGATAATTCTTCCAGACTAGCAAGTCTGGAAGAATTGGGAGGCTGCTCACTGTCTTTGGAATAAAGCCCACGTTTCCCAGCCTGGCACTCTGGCCCTCTCGTCTGACCTGCAACCTGTGTCTGCAGCCTTGACTTTTGCCATGTGGCTTCCTCCCAGCAGAGGCAGGCCAGCACTTTGCCTTCCTCCTGCCACACTGTGCCCGTGCTGTGCCCTTCCCTGCTCTGGCACTGGCCACTGTTTTCCTGTGTATACGTCACCTCCTAAACTCCCTGGTATTGGGGTATGGACGACCCACAATTGGCAAACCCCAGGTGGATCTGTACCTTGGAAGATGGGTCTGGAAGGGTGAACCTCTCATGGAGGAAATTCAGGCATGTGACTAGGAGGTGCGTGGCTCTGGTGGGGAGGGCTCCCTCTGTCCACTGTCTGCTGTGCCCCTCAGAGGTCAGTGCTTCTTCTTGCTTTAGCCTTCCTTTCAAGCTGCCCCATGCCACCCCAAGTCGCTGGTGTGCCATTTTATTTTTTCATGACAAGTGTCCTGTCACACCCCCAGGCCTTTACTCCTGCTGTTCAGCAAACCAGGAACAGCCTTTCCTCCACTCAGCACTGTGAGCCCCTCTCAAGGGCCCCTGCTGAGCAGCCTCCCCTCCACTCCAGGCAGACAGTGGTCCTCTACCTTTACTTCCCACAGCCTTCCCCGCAGCAGGCTTACCACTTCCCCGGACCCGTGTCCTACTTGGGCTGTGGACCTTGGGGGCAAAGACCAGTCTGATTCCTGTACCTCAGAGCCTGGCACCTGAAGCCTTAGAATTGTCCCACCCGCTAAATGCAGGTCTGAGTATTACGAGCCTGGCCTGAACAGTGCAGCACAAACGGGCCCCTGCAGGCGGGCAATGACAGTCCTGTCACTGACCCAGCAAACCCTAGCTCTTCTTGTGTCTTAGTGAGGACAGATGGGGGGGTGGACAGGGAGGGGCACACACCCCTCATCAGACCTATGGCCTTCAGTCTACTCCTGCGAACAGCACTACCAGCCCGCTGGGGTTGCAGGACTGGACCATGTGGCTGATGGGACCTCGTGGCCTAATGTATGGTTTTAGGGTTCTAACAGTCTGTTGTTTGTTGCCTCATTCACTCATTCATTCATTCAGTTTGCATTCCTGGAGCCCCCACTGTGGGCCTAACCTGGTGCCAGGTTCTGGGGACTGTGATATGCATGGAACAGACCTGGTTGCCCATGGACATAAGAGCTCAGTGGTTCCAGGAGTCCAGTAGCCTGTGGTTTGGGAGTCTGTCCGGGGTTCTAGATGTGGAGTCTCCTCAGATGCTGACCACGAGATCTCCATCAGGAGCCTCCAAGGGCCAGGCTGGCTGAAACACATCTACAGGGGGAGCCCAGGGATGGCTCCCTCCCTAGGAGACCTCACACTAGCCTGCCTGTTGGTGCAGGCAAGCTCTTGGGATCCCATGTTCTGCATGTAGTGAGAATGAAGGAACCCAGAGCCAGGTTAGGCTCATTTCATAGATGGGGAGACAAACTGCCCTAAGACCAAGCTGCTGCTGCGGGGCAGCTCCTGGGCTCTGAGAGCCCAGGGTAGCCTTGATCTAAGCACGTGGGAACACTGCCTCCACTGTTCCCTACTGGGCTGGCCATCTGGGCGATCCACATACTGATTCCAGAAACTGCAGGAAGCTTCCCTGTCTTCCTCCTTTTGTCCAGTTCTACCCACAACCAACAACTGGAATTCCTCTACTTGACCTTTATTCCTTTAATTAAAAGCTCCAATTCCTTTAGATTTTCTGGGAGGGGAAGCCATCATCAGTTCTGGACGCCACGGTGTGAATGAGTTTCAGGCATTTTCCTTGGGCTGGGTTTTGTCTAGGGAGAAGGGAGAGTTCAAGAGGGCAGTGGGCCTCTGAGGGAGGGGCTATGACCAGCCAATACTGGCCTGTTATGGCAGTTTGCTGTGGCTTTGGCCAGTCAGTTCCCTTCTCTGAGCTGCAGTTTCCCCATTTCAACAATGGGAGTGTTCAATAAGATGGGTAGGCCCTGAGAATCCCAGGGGTTCTGAGATCTATAGGCCCTGAAATGGTTTTCCTAGGTTCTGTTTTCACATTTTGGAGCTCCTCATAAGATTTGGTGCAAATTAAGGTCTTTGCCAAAAAAAAGTAAGTGAGGCCAGCCAACCTTCTGGGCCCTGCCTGACTGATTCCAAGAGGGGAGTCTCTGAACCTTCTGAGTTCCATGGTTCAGACGTTCTGGAGTCCACACAGTGTAAACAGCTGATAACGTGGGTATTCCATTTTGGAAGTCAGGCCATATGCTGGGGCTCTGTCATGCTGGGAATCCACAGGCCAGGCATTGAGGTCCTGAGTCTTGGGACAGCAGACAGAGTAGGGGCTGCAAATTTGAACAGGTGTGGGGGTTGGGTGGGTTTCGTGAATGAGTGAAGTAGGTGAGTGGGAGACATTAGGGAGTGGTAGAAACTGGAGCAAAGTGAAGAACCTTGGCCCTTCCATTGCTTTTCAGCTCCTGTGTGGGAATATGGGCCCAGTGTGGCAGATCTTCCAATCTTCTAAGAGAAGCTGGACATTTGGAATTTGATGTAAAATCTCCCCATTAAAAACATGCCAGGTCCAAGTACAACACATCTGTGGGCTGGATTCAGCCCCTAAGTTGCTAGTTTGAGACCCCCAAGGCTATGGGTTGGGACAGGGAGATGTGGCTGGAAGGGTGAGGGGTCAGTGCAAGATAGCTTCTCTGTCCCTCCCTCCATCTTCCAGGCAGCTCCTTCCCTAGCCCCCGCCCTTGCCCATTCCCCACAGACTTCTGAGAGGCCCTCTGTTTTTCAGAAATAACAACTCAGGGCATAAGAACATTTGTATGTTCTGCTAGGGCTGTTCCCATGGCAGTTTCCACAACAAGCATCCCAGAATCAAAGTCCAACATGGCAACCCTGGGCACTGAGGCTCACATGGGGCCTCTGAGAAGGTGGAGGTGGCCACAATGTCTTGCTCACTCCCCTCTTCTCAGCGGAAGAACAGCCAAGCCGGAGCTGAGGAAACCAAGCCCCAAGAACACAGGTGGGATTTGAACTCGGATGGCCTGATTTCAAATCCCAGCTCTGAGTGACCTTGGGTAAGTGCTTCACCTCTCACTGCCTCGGTTTCTGCTTTTGTAAAATGCAGGTGACAGCAGTGCCTATTTTACAGGGTTGGGGTGAGGCTTCAGCAAGATGTCTCACGTAAGGAGCCCTAGTGCTATGCCTGAAACCAGGTAGGCGCACTGTGTCATTATTACCGTTCAGGTTTTAGGCCAGGTGGGAGATTAAGCCAGACCTTCTGGAGAGGAAGACTTTGAACTGGCAGGATTTTGACAAGATAGGAAGGGGTCAGTCAAGGTGAGGAGAGGCACAGCAAAAGGGCCTTGTGACTGCAGACAAGCCATTTCCCTTCTCTGGGCCTCAGTTTCCCCACATGTGACATGAAGGATTGGTCTGGATGAAGGCTAGGGCTGGTGGCTCTGGTATTTGGTATCTAAAGATAGCGGTTTTGAGGACCTGCAGGTGGGACAGCTTGCCTGGTCCAGCCTACCTGTCATGCCCTTCCCAGGAGCTGAATCTTGTGGTCTCTTTTCCTTTCTGCTGAATATTAACACACATATTTTTGGGAGCAGAAACAACAGAGGCTGGTGTGAGAGATGAATGGCGTTTGAGATTCAATTTAGATCAAAGAGCATCTCACCACTTTGCATATTAAAAATTAATACAGGGTGTCAAAGATCACTGGACAAAAGCAGCGAGGCCCTGAAAATTGAGAAATACAAATGTCCAGATGCTATGTGGGGTTGTGGACTTTCAAATGTGAATTTTCTTTCTGTATAATT